GGTGTTGGATGCATATTTTAGAGCACAAATTCTGGGAATTGGTACTCAGGAACACTTAGATACACCGTATGAAAGCAGTCTATACCCCTTTCAAAATTAAACTCCAAATATATTGAATTATGTTTTATGGATCAGCCCTGAAATTGCTCTCCTCTCTCTCTCTCTCTCTCTCTCTCCTTGTTCGGTGTCTGTTGTTTGCTGGAATTGCCAGAGTTCCATCTCTGAAGCCATGTTTGCCACTAGATTTTTCCTTTTTCCCATTTTTTTCTCCTTGCTGCATCAAATCCTAATAGAGAGGTGATGCTGCTTCCTGGAGCTCATCCCTCTCTTCACCACCTCTCTTCTTTGTAGCAAAGTAATAAATAATCCATAAAAATGCTGAGATTATTCTCACTTGATTGACCCCCAAAGTTTATGATGAAATAGGTTTAATAAAATCTATTTTATTTAGCTTAGCTACAAGTGCTCTGAATTTTTAAATACTTTCACTCTGTGATGAGACTTTGTATTAATTGTAGCCTTAAGGTGTCTGAAATGCAAGAAAATTCATCAGTGTGAACGAGATTACAACTGTGAGCTGGATATTTATGAAGGAAAAAAAAAAAAATCCTTGTTCCAGCTCTTCCAGGAGCTGGAACAAGGAATGGCTGAATGGTAGCACAACCAGGGCACAGGAGTTGGATTTGTCTTTATGCACAACTTTACTCCTGACTAGAACCCCTGGAACCTGGAATCTGTTCCAGGCTGTTGATGGCCCCCTTGGGATGTCCCAGGCACTTCCACAAGGTTCTGAGTGACTTCTGCCAACCACAAGTTGTTGGCCAGGGGAAGCTGCTGGTGCAGCTGGTGAAGGATAATGATGAAGGATCAATTATTATCCTTCAAATTCCTGCCATAACTTCTGCACCAACCAAGTGGAGGACTGGAGAGGTATTGGCCAAGCCATGAATTCTCCAACCAAGGTGTGGAGAAGTTGGGACAAACTGAACTGCTTTGGAAATTTTCATTTTCTTTAAAAAGAAGGAAAATTTACTTCTCCTTGTGCCTGTGAAATTGTCCCTGGGGACTTGTTAGAATGGATAATGGAGGTCCACCAGGAGCTTCCTAAGAAGGTTTTAAGAACATTAAAGGCTCCTTCAGGATGCCCAAAAGGGCTTGTTAAGATGAAGGGCCTTGGGTGGCTGCTGCCTGCAGGATTGGAGAATGCTCCTCTTTCTAGAGGTGATGGAATCTAACTGTAGCTGTGTGGAGAGATGCCTAAGGATGGACATCAGTCTGTGTGCAATTCCAAACCCTGGCTGCCTTTTAAAAGAGGCATCTGAATTCCAAGATACCAAACTAGAGCCTGATTTCCAATGTGTGTCCACATGGGAGATTTTGATGCCTCTCCTGCCTTGTGAAGGTGGAAAGGTTGGATTATCAAGTCTAATTCTGCTACAGTTCCCTCCCTCTCCACCCACCCCAGCCATGTGTTCCCAAAAAGATCCACTGTAAGGAGCTGCTTGCTGCCAGTGGACCAAACAAGGCTCACAGCAAAAGCTGGCATCAGGTCTTTGGGTAACTTGGCAAGGAATATGTTCCTTCTTTTCTCCTTCTTCCCCAGAGGAGCTGTGGCTGCCTCATCCCTGGAAGTGCTCCAGGCCAGGCTGGCTGGGCCTTGGAGCAGCCTGGTCTGGTGGGAAGTGTCCATTAGAGATTCACTCTTCATCATCAGCTGTATCACCCCTTCACAAATCGAGGTGCTAATCCCTAAATATTCCTCAAAATCAAAACATCCTCTTTCATTTTCCTCATGCCTAGTAACCTCTGACACCGGAAGGAGACAGCTGTGATTGTCTTTGGCACCATTGGAAAAATTTAGCAGGGCAGATTCATAATACACTCACCCAGTTTCTGCTCCTCTTTTCCCTGAGTGTGTGGTTTTGGCTGCTCTTGGAAATCAATACTCCTGGACTGACTCATGAGCACAGAGATCCTCTTACATTCCTAGAAGTGGAGCTGCCCTGTTGGAATGGGGGTGGGAGTACAGAAAGCACCAAGTAAATCGAGGAAAAATACTCTGTCAATGAAATTCCCATATGAGTGATCCTCTGTGCATTTACACTTTGCTTTTGCCACTGAAAATCAGATTCACCGATTATTTGCTAATCTCACTTAACTAGTGAGAGACCATTTTTATTTATCTATTCCTAAACATAAAGGATTCCTGAAATTCTTGATGTGCCTTCAAAAAAAGAAAAACAAAAAAAACCCAAAAAAAAAAAAAACCCCAAAAAAGCAAACAAAAAAACCCCAACCAACCAACCAACCAACCAAACAAACAAAAAAAACCAAAACCAAATCTTTCTTTTTCCTTAAGCAAAGTCCAACTATATTATTTATGTGTGGATTTTATTACTTGCAATGAAACCAGAGCAGATTTTCCCCTCTAATTTTTTTTGTATGGTGCTGCCAGATATGAAAATATGCAACATAAAAGAGGATGTGAATGATTTATTTTTCTCCTCTAAAAATAGCACCCACTTGTGAAATTCAGGTTGGGCTACAGTTCTGGCTTTACAATTCCCAGGATTTTGGGAATCAAAAAAAAGTTGCATTTGGTGTGTCAGTGCTATTTTCACCTATTTTTTAATTCTTATACAAAAAATGGATTCAAAGAATCAAGGTTTCTTGTGAAGAGACTTTGTCCTCTCTGTGGCCAGCCTTTAAACACTTGGCTTTAAATGGCCTTAAAATGAAGGAGGGAAGGATTAGATTAGATATTGGGGAGAAATTTATTCCTTTGGGGGTGGTAAAAATCTGGTTGTTTATTAATCCCATTTTAGACAGCTTTGTGTTATCTCACTCAAGGGTAACCACCTAAAATTTTGGAATTTATACTGCTCATCCAGGCTTCCTTTCTTTGTTCTGCCTAGAATTTATCCTGGCATCAGCAGAAATGTGTATTAACTTTTGCAAAGTTAGGGTTAAATTATGTGCTTTTTCTTGTAAGGTTAAAATAAAACCCAGAATTCCTTTCTTAGCAGACTGAATCCAATTCAAATTCAAGTTTCAGGTAAAAAAGAAGTGTGAGGGGAATTGCTTGGAAAATCTAAAGATATTTGGGTTTGAATATTTAAAAACAATGCTCATGGCTTGCTTCCATTAAATACTACAAAATTAATCAGCCCCGAGAAAGTAAACACACCAAATATTTGTGAGAAATCCCAGAATCAGATGTGACATTTAATTTTAAACTTGGAAAACTACAAGTTTTTGTACAGGGAAAATACTTCCTTTGTTTGCCACCTCTGCCATACCCTCTATAGAGAAAGGAATAAATTTTTTATATATTTTATCATATTTTTTGGCATGTTCTGCTGTCACCAAACATCTTTCATGCCTGTTCTCATCCTGCTTTCTTGACAATTTCACCACTTTCACATATTTTTCCATTTTCTCTTTTTGCATGTAGACCACAAGCCCTGGTTTCCCCTCCCACAGCATAATTAGATTTTTATTTCTGCTTAATTGTGTTACAAAATGCTTGTTGGTGGTTATGGGAATGTCCAGCCTGAAGAAGGGAAGGTTCCAGAGAGACCTTGGAGCCTTCCAGTGACAAAAAGGGCTCAGAGAGCTGGACAGGGACTTTGGACAAGGAGTGGCAGGACAAGTGGGAATGGCTTCAAACTGACAGGAGGTGGGTTTAGATGGAATATTGGGGAAAAAACTCTTCCCTGTGCAGGTGGTGAGGCACTGGAATGGATTTCCATGGGAAGCTGTGGCTGCCTCATCCCTGGCAGTGTCCAAGGCCAGGCTGGATGGGGCTTGGAGCAACCTGGGATAGTGGAAAGTGTCTCTGCCCATGAATGTGATGGTTTTTAAGGTTGTGAAAAATGTGTATTTTATGATTGGCTTTTCGCAAATATTAAAATGAGTATTATATGTGTTACGTTAGAAAGTTATGCTGTATTGATTTTCTTAAGTAGTGTGTTAAATATAGTTTGAGGTTATAACATAATGTTAAAATAGAAACTATGTATGTGGAATATTTTTTTTAAGAGATGAGCGAGGTACTTGTACCAGATAGCAGCCACAGGACACCTAAATCTTCCAGAGAAAGAGAATTTATTGCTCCATTATCAGAAGAAATGAACTTCTTCCCACCTTGTTCAGCCCTGAAGACACCGTCAGAATTAAGAGGAAGAAGCTGACACTACCCAGACAGAATCCTTTGTTTAAAAGGAATTTATGCATTATGGATGAGGTGTATGAATGTGCAACAGGCTGTTGCTTTTAAGGGTTAACCCTCTGTTAACGTGTCCTTTTTCAGGCTTATTTTGCGCAGAAAAAGGTATCCGGGCTGTCCAGAACTCTTTGTTTTTATTGTCTCGTATTGTCCTAATCCCAATTGTCCAAATTTTTATTAATCTATTACTATTTTTATCACCATTTTATTACTATTAAACTTTTTTAAAAACAAGTGATTGGCGTTTTTCACAAGGTCCCTCCCAACCCAAAGCAGTCTGTGACTCTGTGATAATCAGGACTTTTATAAACACTGGAAAATGGTGATTCCTCAGAGGAACCAAATATTATGGGTATGTTCCTTATAAAACTTAGGATGCAATTTGACTCTTCTGTTGCAACATTTTATGTTTGGCACAGTTCCACTGGGATTATCTCAATGTGCGCTCTTGTTTATACAGCCCCGGACACTGCCCTCCCTCACTCCCCCGCCTGAGGGGGTTTGTAAGGGAGCAGCACCCCCACGGCCATGACACCCGCCCGGGCCTCCCGCTGACGTCATCCCCGCGCGACACCGACGGTGCACCCCGGCAGGGCTGCTGGATGGCGGAAGCCGTGCTGCAGGTCACCGAGTGTCCGTGAGGAGACAACAGAGGTGGAGCCGCCCCACCGAACCGCGGAGAAGCCGCTGGTAGGCACCGCTCCGCAGCCGCGCCGCTGGGACTACAACTCCCGGCGTGCCCCGGGGCAGCGGCGCACGGAGAGCGCTGATTGGCCCGCGGGGGAGGAGGGGCAGCGCAGCGCGGGCGCCCCCACGTGGCGGCTCGGCCGGGCCGGGACCGCCGGGATAGCCCGGGATAATACGGGACAAACCGAAATAACCCGGCTGCGCCCCGCTCCCGTGCCTCGCCCGGGCTGCCTGAAGGGACCCCATGCTGAGTCTGGTGGCTGGGAACGAGGCCAGGTGCTGCGATCCTACCCTTCCCTTCCCTTCCCTTCCCTTCCCGTTCCCGTTCCCTTCCCAGAAAACGCAGATGGCTCCAGATTCCTTTCTCCGTCCACCCCTTTTCCAGCTCTCTGTCTCCTGGCACCCTGGGCCCAGGATTCTCCCTCGTATCCCTATTCCTCTTGGTCGCTTCCCTCTCCTCTCCCGTTCCTTTCCCTTCCCCTCCCGGATCAGGTGAGCGGGAGGAGCTCTGGGACACAGCAGGGCGATTCCTCCCTTCCCAGGCAGCCTCTGGCAGGCAGGTGAGGTGGAAGTGTCACCTGGAAGGGTGCTGGGAGCTTCTTCAGTGACCAACTTCCAACAGTGCCCTGTTTGTTGACTGTAATCCTAGTGCTGGAACACAATGGGAATGTTAACAAAATTCTTTTCTCTAAAGGACAGCATCCCTCCCAGAGCAACTGAACTGAAATTACAGCTGATTAACCTTTCATTCATTTCCTGATTTATGGTATAACACAAGTTTTTTTCAGGTAAAATAAAGATGCTTTTTAAATGAATCATGACATTCTTAGTTTGGTTCTTGTAGATACCAGGCAAAGCTTGTCTGAAAATGGAATGTTACCTCATTCCCAAGGAGGAGGATGAATAAAAGTAATGTGATGGTTGGGAAGAGATCCCACCCACTTCCCAATTCCTCACCCTTGAGGTTTGGTTGTTTTTGGAGGTGCTGTTGCTCAATCCTCATCCTCCCACCTGACAGAAAAGCAGGAACTGCCTGAAACAGAGATATCTGCCTGGTTTTGGGTGGTGGGTGATATGGGGAAAGGGGTAGAACTGTCTTCTCCCAATTACTTCTGGAAAAAACCACTTCTGAAGGACCTGGAAGAAGAAGAGAGAGTTTCCAGCTGATGTAAAGTAATGGTGGTGTCACTTTCTCTTCCTATTCCTCAACCTCTCTGCACTGGTGCTTCTCACGCTGGATGCGGCTGTAAAAACACAGATTGTGGTAAAAACACAGATTGTGGTAAAAACACAGATTCTCAGTCCCCTTCCACTCTCTGCAATTCCCAGCTCTGTTCCCGTCCTTGTCACTGTAGGCCTGTGAAGTGGCTGTGTGACAGTTTAGGTTGAAATAACTGAATAACATTATTAATTAATAATATATAATATTATATATATTATATAATTATATATAATATTTCCTGAAATAAGTTCAGGAAATGCTCCTTTCTCTGAATTGAGCTGCTTTCCTGGCCTCTGGAATCCAGCAAGAAGGGATTGAACCCTTCCCATCTGTGGAATTTTGTGGTGACAACATTTTTCACCACAGCAAGGCTGGTGATTCAAAGGAAAAGTGTTTCCAGCAGAAAACTCTGGAAGTGGATGTTTTCTCCTGTCCAAGGCTGAAAACCTCCCTTCTCCTCTTGAAATGTTTCTATTTATGTGGAGGCAAGTAGGGCCTGGTGACTCCAGAGTAGATCAGAGTAAACACAGGCAGGGCATAAAGTGGGAATTGCCTTTTCCAGGCAGAGTCCACTGCTCCTTAAACCTGCCTGAGGCAGGGATACAGGCAAGAATTCCAATAAAAGCCTGGTAACTTTTTTTGTGTGGTCATGCTGAGCCTGCTGGTCTTGATTGAACAAAGTTCTCTGGATGAAGTAACAATGCTGCAATTCTGGCTTTTTTCTTCTTCTTAGTCAGAGACTGTTTTCCATGGTGACCTCAGAGATATCCTCGTGGTTTTGCATCCCTCTGTTCCCTCCCAGGCTGTTGTTTCAGCTGGTGTCAGCCCATTGCTCAACTTGCACCTCCTGACTGGAGAAATGCTTTGTCAGAGAACTTTTCCTTCTGGGTTTGAGTGAACATCCTCCCTGTCCCTCAGGGTCCTGGCATTTTGGGGAAATTCTCTGTGATCACCCTTTGCCCTCGAATCACTGAGCTCTTCCATGTGTCTCTAACTCTGGAGCTTTCAGACCCATCCAGTGGCCAAAAGAAACTAGTCCAAAATGTTGTTTTCTGCTAAGTTCAGGGCCTGCAGAGACACTCTATCTAAGGGGTCAGCAGGGTGGCTGGAGACAGGGAAAAGAGACACATGGGGTGTGGGGGTGTTTGTGTGAGGAATGCAGCCTTTTTGGCTGAGGGAGTGTTTCATCTTCTTTCCTCCAAGCCTGCTGTGGGTTGTGTCCCTTCTCAGAGACCTTTAGAAGGAGCTAAGAGCACCAAACAGCAGGCAAGGAAGGGCCTGGCCTGTGCTAATAACGTGTGGAGCGGAAATCTTTTTTGTTTGTTTTTACTTGTCAGACTGGAAAGTTCCTGATTTGAGTTTCAGTCTTGGTCATCGCTGCCTATTTAGACAGGTTTGTGGCCATGCATGACTGAGCAAGCAAGTGGGTGGAAGATTCCTCAGGCCAGGCAAAGCATTCCTCTGGCTCAGGGGACTCTGAGGCCTTTGCCTCCACAGCCTTTATGGCAGCATCTTCCCAGGACTCTGACCACGAGGGCCAGGGTGCTCTGCCCAGGTTCAGGGTTCTGCCCAGCCCAGCAGTGTCTGAAACAGCCCTGTGGGATTGCTGAGGGCCTCCTGGGGCTGTCCTGACCCCTTATCTCCCTGTCCCACCGAGTGGGTGGCCTCTCTGTCCCAGCTTTATGGCCTGCTGGGACGCTGATATCTGTGGGCACGGCCCAACATCTGCTGAGCTGAGCACGACAGCTTCAACACGGTCCTGCAGGCCAACCCCATTTCAAGTGTCACAGCCATTTCTCACCCCAACAGAGATGATTTCCCCTGGTTTATTTCTGTCTCTCTTTGTGCAATTCCCTTGCTTTTTTCCCCCCAGTTTGTTCAGTGTGCAGGGACAGCCCTGCTGGATCTCTTCCCCACCTTGAGGAAGGACAGCACTCCACACTTCAGCACTGCCTCGCTGCTCCACAAGCAGCACAGCTTTTTTAGGCCCAACTTGAACCCCTTGAGCTGCTTTTCAGTATTTTTACTTTGATGCCAAGGGCCTGAATGTGGCTTAGGAGGAAGCTGCACCCAGCAGGAAAGGTGGATGTGGGTGTGGAACCTGTGGAGTTGTGGCTGCACCTCTGCATGAGCCATGGGAGTGTTTTCAGTGTCCTTTCCCAGCACAGCACAGCAGGAACCAGCTTTTCCCAGAGAAAACCCTCCCTGTGCCTCCCCTCTGCTGAGAACATCCCTCTACATGGATTGAATCCCTTCACTTCTTCTGAATGAGCCATGAAATGAGTTCCTGGAGAGACCTGCTCAGCAGTTTTGGGGGTGCCCCCCACCCATCCTGCCCAACAGAGATCAGCCATGGGCCACTGCTTGTTTTTGTGGTGTTTTATCAGGCTGCTGCATGTCCTTTAACTGCCAGCTCCTTGTAAAAGCTTGTTTCTTCTCCTCATGCTTGAAAGCATTTTCTGCTCGTCCCTTTTTTGGGTGGCTGAGTATAAAAGCAGCCTCCTCTGAGAGATTCAGTGTCTGCTCAAACTCAGTGCTGCACTAAATCCAAGGAACACCTTTGTGCATCCTCACTAAATTACCTGATGGCCTCAGGGGGGACAAACCTGTTTGTCTCTTTGATTCCCAAGTAAAACTTCTTTTAAAAAAAGAACATTTCATCCATTTATCTAGAAGCAAACCTGCCTGATGATCCATGAGGGCTTCAGCACTCACCAGCATTTTCCAGGAAAATTCATGCTCAGAAGGAGGGGATTTTTGTGGTGTATTGAGAAATTTCCCCATTTTTGTTGACTTTGGATGGGTGTTCTATTTGCAGTTTTTGTACAGTATCTGAAGAAAAAGTTCAATACAACAGAAACAGGGGACAGGAATGATCCCCACCCCCTTGTTTTTAACACTGTAAATCTGAGAGAGGGGGGAAAAAAGGTGGATGACACCATGGGAGGATCATGACAGTAGAGCAAATATTGTGGATGGTGGCCTGTGGTGGAATGTCAACATCAAACTTATTGTGCCTTTTGCAGCTGGGCAAATCCATGTTGTGAAAGCTCCTGTACGTGCACCTGGGGCACAGGCTGCCTTTGGAATCGGGATGGAGCTTTTCCCTCACAGATAGTGGAGTCAGTCTGAAAGTTTAAATAGTCAGGCTGAAATAGTTTAAAAAGGGCTGAGACATCCAAGTAAATTCACCAGATCCTGCTTCTGGCTGTGCTGACAGAATTACTGTATTATTAACATTGTTCTTCCTCACTCTCTTGGTTCAAAGTGTATTTTTTACAAGGCTTGTAAAAGAAATAAAAATAAATGAAAGGGTGTTCTGGGCAAATCAGAGAATTGCAATCTCCTACAGCATTTTGTTTAGACTGTGCGTAAAAATACTCCAGAGAGAAAAAAAATCCTGTGTCACAACTTAGAAGAAGTTTGTCTGTCTAAAGAGGGTTTTATAATCCTTGTCTATAAAATCTTGTAGTACAAAGCTACAGATTATTCTATGTTTGGACTTTTTTCCTGCATAAAAACAGCTTCATTTTCGGTCTCCAAAGCTAATTTCCCAGCAGAACTTCAAACATCCTTTGTCTGTCTCCCTTTGGAAAGTGTTCCCTTGAGCCAGCAGCTCTGTGTACCCCAGCCATTTGCATTCTGTGCTGTGAGTACCCAGTGAAAACTTGTTGCCTAAATCCCGGGTTTCCCAATTGGAAAAATTCAGGCACCTAAAAGAAACAAACTGAAAAGTTTTCACCGAGTGTTTTGCACAAGGAGCAACAAGAAGGAGTTTTCAGTTAAACTCCCAGAGCAAGTGGAGCCCAGATGTTTTTAGTAAACAGCTTTCAAAACTCACAGTTGAGACCAGTGTCAAATTTCCAGACGCATGATCAACCTTGGAGCCAAGTTTAGTTGCTTTTGTGTTTGCATAAAGCCTGGAAGCTGAATAACACTGAAGTTTGTGGATGGAGTGGAGGTTCTCCATAACAAATATTTGACTGGATGCAATTTCTCTTATTTACAGGACTTTGAGCTTTGGGGGACTTAAAAAAAAAAAAAAGGTTACTGTATATTTGTTTATTTTACATTTGAGGCATATTCAGCACTTTCTTACTCACTGGAATTGGAACAGTTGTTGATTTTTAACGGGGATTTGCTATTATTCTGGCCATTAAACCAGCATGGCAAAATCAAGTGTTTTAAAGCTAGAGGTGAACCATTTCTACAGGTGAGAAATGAAATTTATGCATTCCTGGGCATTCTGGCTCTCTGCTCACACCAAGGCAGCCCTCTCCCTGAAGGTCTAACTGGATGCCTAAGCCACATGCCAAGGCCTTTGCTCAGGGACTGTATCAGCAAAAATCTGTCTCAGAATTTACTATGGGCAAATACTGTCCGGTATTTGTTTAGGAGTCCTGTTTTCTGCCCCTTTGGAAAGGTCATGCACGAGAAGGGCACGGGTAGAGTCAGGATAAATGATATTAAAGTGGGGGTAGGAGGCGTGGAAACTTTCCCTTTGGGTACATCTTGATCTCTGACCTATAACTTCTGTATCATGTGCAGACACTCACCAAAGAAGTTCTGATTATTTTTGCATGCTTAAAACCC